CCAATCAGAAGAAAGTGTTGTTTTTTGTTTTTTACTGCTGGCAGGTCAGCAGTCGAGATTTATTTCATGAAGCTGAAATATTGGTAATGACTCAGAGAACAACCAGAAGTTTGAAACCGAATGAGGTTTGTACTAGTATGTACAATATACTTGTTTTTCATTAGCTGTTCACTAGCCATTCAAATCAAATCAAATCACTTTTATTGTCACATCACATGTGCAGGTACATTGGTACAGCACATGTGAGTGAAATTCTTGTGTGCGAGCTTCACAAGCAACAGAGTTGTGCAAAATACAATAATGTAAACAAGCAAAATACAAGAATGGCTACATCTGAAAAAATAAATATATGTACAATATATAATAGTATATGCATTTCTGGACGTGTATACTAAATATTTTTCTACGTGTGTGTGTGTGTGTACACATATTTTACAAATTAAATAGAGTAAACTATAAATAAAATATATAAAAATATACAGAGTTGAGACATGTGCAAAACAGTGGCATTACTGTACAGTGTGGAGTGCATAATGTTAAAGTTCCGGTAGTGAAGGTGAGGTGTCTATGACGTGTTCAGCAGTCTGATGGCCTGGTGGAAGAAGCTGTCTCTCAGTCTGCTGGTACGGGACCGGATGCTGCAGAACCTCCTTCCTGATGGAAGTAGTCTGAACAGTTTATGGCTGGGGTGACTGGAGTCCTTGATGATCCTCCCCGCTTTCCTCAGGCACCGCTTCCTGTAGATGTCTTGGAGGGAGGGAAGCTCACCTCCAATTATCCGTTCAGAGCACCGCACTACTCGCTGGAGTAGTGAGTTACTGAGTCTACTCAGTACAATTCATTTTATCTCAGGCTAGTTTTTTCAGGCTGGTTTTGCTCATTTCAGTTTACCTTTTGGTTTTTGAATTGTTTCGTTTTCAAAGCCACTTTCAGTAACTGGGGATCAGGTGCCTGGTCCACATTGGACCTGGCCAGGCCCAAATGTGGTGGCACATGGCAGTTGGGCCATAGTCCCATCACTTAAGGACTGACCACCAGTCTGTTACCAGTGAGGTAACAGTCTGCTGTGGTGAAGAGAGAGCTGAGCTGGGAAGCATCAATTTACCAGTCAATCGATCTTCATAATCTTATCTATGGTCATGAGTTCAAAGTAGTGACAAAATTAAATTAGATCACAGAAATTACCAGCAGAAATATGGAAGTATTTGTTTGAACACAACACAATACACAACATTTTTACAGGAATCCTCAGTGTCATTAAAGAAAACACCACACCCTCAGCATCAGGCTGTACAAATCTTTATTTCTGCTGTGACGTTTTAATATGGTGACTGACTCACTGCTGCTTCTGCTGGACATTAGAGGAACTGCATGTGACTTTTATTAATTTCATTCAACCCCCCACCGCCCAAAGCCGGATTCTGCTGTTGTTAGTCTCTTCAGTGTTTACTGTCATGTTGAATGATTAATCAGAGACCCGACACAGCAGTTTGTTAGAAAACATAACTTATTAATGAGCACAGAGTCAGCACAGTCGATGAACCTTTAACAAACACAGCAGCTGATGCGTTACTCTGAGTACAGATCATTGATATTAATTCCACACATTCAATTATTCACAATCAGGAGGAAAAATAAAGCCAATCATACAGTAAGTGTAAATAAATTCCTTCGCCCTGGTGAACTCCTCACACCTTAAAACAGACACGCGCACAACAAAACAAATAATTACACTTTGCACGAAAAAAGAATTTTGTGTCTCTGCAGACTCCATGTTGAGACAGCCAATAGACTCTCTGCAGGGCAGTCACATGGAGGTTGTCTTGCCATTGATGTCGGCTGCCAGGTTGTTGAAGGCGTTTGGTGCATCTTTGCTCCTGATGGACAAACGACAGATTCAGTGAAGAGTGCATCTAAAGCTTCTCAGAGTTTATTAGCAGTAGCTGTGAATGTGGTTGGACTCCAGCATTAGGATACCTGAGCTGGGAACTATTGTTTTTACTCAGTTACTCATATTTGATAGTAATGTACCTCAATTTGGAAGAACGATTTGTGCCTTCACCATGCGACTTTTTATTTTCATCTTTCTGACCACGGCACGGAGTGAGGACTTGGCAGGCTGTGGTATAAAGCACTGTGAAGGAATCACAGGAGCTGGAGGTGTGCTGGAGGCGAGTGAGGGTGAGTGGAGGTGTGCTGGAAGTGTACTGGAGGCGTGTGTTTCTGGTTTTTGTGTTGAAGTTAACCACAGAGGGCGCTGATGGTGACTCTGACGCTCTGTGACTGTGTGGCTGTGTTTGAGCACTGAGTGTGTTTAAGGGAAGAAGCTTCGGCCCTCAGGTTGTTTTGATGGAGGTTTTTGTGTTTCTACCTGAAGGCGTCCAGATTAGTCTCGTAGGTGTTTTCGTTCCCTGACTCGGTGCTCTTCCTCCTGGTGCAGAACAAAAACGAGAAGTAGAATAAACGGTCGTGTTCACAATCAGAGTTTTATGTCTCAAGGATCTTTGGTGTTACAGAAGCGTCTTCAGCGTTTCCTGTCTTGTTCCTACCTGATGGAGCTGAGGCGCATATCATACAGGTTGCTGCTGATAATGTCACGTTCTCTCACATCTTCAATGCTTGTCCTGCTGCGCAGACACAGAAAAATCACAGAATGTAACGTTTCTGCACTGAAACATTCAAACGGTCCTTCGGCGGTATTTGGCCAACTGACCTGCTGGGGTTTTCACACCACGCCTTCTTCGCCAGGACGACGACAAAGGCGAGGAACAGGAAGCCGCAGACGGCAATGATGCCGGTCAGCCACTGAGGCAGTGCCCGCTCGTTGGTGTTAGTGGGCTCTGCAAAGCAAACGCACAGAGGGGTCAAAGGTCAGAGAAAAGATGAAGCTCTGATGGTTTTGAACTTTTCCAGCACAGAAAATATCGTGTCGACTTCCAGGCGCGAGCTAAACCTTCGCCTACAATCCTCACTTTTTCAAACTGGTTCCGCTTCACTGTCATTAGAGTGAATTAAAAGCACTTTTTTAATCCACGAAACGTTGTTATTTAAGCCAGACTTTTAGTAGATTTGTCAGAAGTGTAAATAAACCTGTCATTTCTTCCACAGGCACAGATCTCAGTCCAACAGAGCACCTTTGGGATTTGGTGAAACGGGAGATTCTTACCATGGATGCAGCAGCTGTGCAACAATGTCATGATGATGTCACATCAACATGTACCAAAGTCTCTGAGGATTGCTTCCAGCAGCTTGTTGAATCTACTAATGAGGCGTACCTAATAAAGTGTCCGATGAGCTTGTATACTCTGGGTACGTGAAGTGATTATTTAATGGTGTGATTGGTGAAGCTGTCAGATAATTAACACTGTTAAGCTTTTATAGCTTGACCCTTACACAGTCATTAACAGCTGATATGTCCTTGTTTGTTTCCTAGTTTGTGTCCTTGGTTGTTTCCTTGTTTGTTATCAGTTTTTAAACATGATATTAGCAGAACATTCAAAAATCGCCTTTGTGTTGGATGATATTGCGATCGGGGTAGATTGGAGATTAATTTAAAGCTTTGAATGAAGCACAGTGACAAACACACACACGATATTAATAAAACATCAGACCTTTGAGTTTATGGTGTGAGAATTCATTTTATAACCATAAAAGCTGCATCCTTATCTTTCTTTATCTTCATCAACATTTCCTTTTAAACTCACTAAAATTAAGCTGATAATAGCTAAATAGACGTGCAGGTTCACAACAAACCAGCGTTTCTGTTCAACATGCGACCAATCAGGAAAGCTTCTAATGTGAATCACTGATGAACTGAGTGTTTCAGGGAAAACGAGACATTCCCAACAGCAAATGGGAATTCTTCAGTTTTCTGACAACACATTTTTAGAGAAGGTTCGTACCTGTCTGAGCAGTGACCGTTCCGACGGCGAGCAGTAAACAGGAAGTCAGTGCGTAGAGCGTCCCCATGGCTGAGTCTGTGAGGAAAACCGGAGCTGCTGCAGTCGAGTTAAAGACAGAGTGAGGACAAGGATCTGGGAGCAGCAGCTCCCTGCAGGCCTGTCAATGTTTAACCCTCAACACAGACAAGCTTTTATGAAGACAGCCCATCACCTGTCTTCAACGTCATGCTGGAACAATCCACGGCCTTCATTCATAGGTGATTAATAAACAGGAACCAGCAGTTTAACTTTGACCCGAGGGAGCGTAGTGTCTCATTCACAGCCACGCGTTCATATTTCAGCCTCTAAAACAGTAACACATTGACTGCTTACTCCAAACAGCACGCTCATAATAACATTATTACAAGTTCATGAAGCAAAAATCACCTTGAGAAACTTCAAACTGCTCTAAATATTCATTGTTTTACAGTCACATAACCTGCTGCTGACTGAGCAGTCAAAGTACAAACAGCACACCAGTCAAGGCCCCTCGGCAGGCTTCCAAAAGTTAACCAATCGGTAGAAAGTGGACTTCTAGAAAGGAGGACCCTAAAGTGATGGGAGCGGCCTGTATCAGATAAACAAAGATTATTTTGAATTGTGACTCATGCACAGCTGCTCTACTGTGGAATAAAAATAAAGAGCAGTAAAGATATTTTCTCTGTATGCATTAGTTTACAGCTTTGTGTACCAAGATAATAATGATGACAGTGGTTGTGTCTGATTTGGATTCTTTAGAAAGAAGCAGGAAGTTTCTGGTCTCTTACGAGGAAACTGTACAAGCAGTTAAACCAGTGAAAGCACAAAAAGAACCAAACTGAATTATCAAATAATCAATATTTGCATATTTTAAATGAAAATCCTTCAGAAAAGTTGAATTTTTATATGAAACTGTCAGTCCTGCTGCAGACGGCTCAGCATCACAAAAACATGAAGCTTTTAAATCTTCAATGTGTAAAGAAAGGATTCACTCACTGTGTTTTCAACACTATAATCAGCTTCAGAGAAACTGAATGTTTGCAGTAATTCACAGGAGAACAAGCGTGTGCTGTACTGATTACATGTTTATTAAATATAATGATCAAATATTGGTAAATAACATTTTTTTTTCCCCTCCTTGAACGGCCAGTGAAGGTCCGGGAGCCGTGACTTGGGCCCTGCTGTCCTACAGCATGACACATGCAGAGGAGGGTTTGGCTTTGAACATGCCCACGAGGTTCAGGTTTAACTGGGTGGGGTTAAAGTCCTGCAGGTTGGATACGGAGGTCTGCGGTCCTTCCCGGTCCTTCTCCCTAGAGGTGACCCGGTACTGGGCCCTGAAACTCCTCACAGGGTTGTAGTCGGGCCCGATGTGGTCTGGACACCGAAACAGCTCTCTGATGATGGCGCCCTGCCGGGTTATGGCCACAAAGCCGTCCCTGAAGGTCACCATTCGGACAACGGGGGAGTAGACGTACTGAACGAAGAGCAGGTTTCCTGACGGGAGAAATGAATAAAGCTCAGTGGCTGGAATGATAGAACTGTTTATAAAATCCCAAAGGCCAAACTGTTGGAGAATCTTTTGTTTGCAGCTGACTGAACTCTAGAGAGTTGCAACCAGGACGGCTCAGACCTGGGAGTGGTCCAGGTGCAAAACTGCTGGTGCACACTTCAGTGCTTGTCTGTATCCCAGATTTTTGCCTTTTTTAGCCCTAAAATCTAACTCTGCAGCCGAACACAAACATGCATACCTGATGCAACGTCCCAGACTTTGATGGTTCGGTCCTGAGACCCGGTGAAGATGAAGCGGTCGGTTTCAGAGAACGCAGCAGAGAGGACGCCCTCAAAGAGAAAGCCCTAAAAATGAGATGACAGAAGAAGAGACGGACCAAAGGCCCGACAGTGACATCGGCACAAGTCATCCATGCTCATACTCGCAGAGCGTTCCTTTGACCTCTCACCTTGTACTCCATGGTGTGGTCCAGGGCCAGCGGGTTCAGGGCCCACAGCCTCTGCACAGTGTCCTCGGAGCCCACCAGAGCATGAGCCCCCCGGTTACTGACCGTCACACAGGTCACTCCGCTGCGGTGAGGCTCCAAGTCGGAGACGTCGCCACCCCTGCCAAAGTCCCACAGCGTCACCTCCCCACAGCTCGTGCCGTACAGCAGCCTGCGGTCGGGAAGCAGGGCCATGGCGGACAGCGGGGCGTGGAGAAGGGGCAGTGCAAACTTCTTCAGAGGCCCCTCCACCGTGGGAAAGTTGTCCCTGGAAGTGATCTCGAACAGGCACACCGAGTCCTCGTAGGCCACCGCCAGGTGCTTCTCCTTGGTGCCGGCGGTGAGGCAGAGGACCCTGCAGAGGCTCTCCGGGGGGGGATGCAAAGCGTCTCCTGAGGCAGGGCTAATGGGTAGATGAGGACGGTGCCACTCGTCAGGCCGCAGAGGAGGAGACGTTTGTTCTGAGCCAACTCCAGACAGGACACCTCGGAGGAGACGGGCAAACGCTCGCACACAGAACCTGCAGGGGGAACCAGCATAGACCTCAGGGGGCGTGACATCATTCTAATGTTTATTCTAATGTTTTCTAATGTTCTGTAAGTAGCCGCCACCTTTCACCTCTGACCTGTGTGGCTGTTCCAGCTCATGACCTCGGTATGGCTCTGCTGGTGGACATAGAAAACCTGATTGCCGTCTTTGGTGAGGGCAATGTGGGCGGAGTCTGCAGGAATGCGGATGGTAGGTTTGGTGCTGGCGTCGTACTTCAGGTTCCACAGCAGGATGGAAGAGGTGGCCGTCGAGGCCGAAACCACAAAGTCATTAAAGAGAAGCACACAGGTGACAGGGGCGTCCGCCCCACACAGAGAGTCCAACAGCGCCCCCGTGGTCACCGACCACACCTGTGAGAGAATAACAGTCTTTTCAGAATAAAATGAGCTGTAATTACAGAGAGACACTCTGTGGCTTCAGTCATCTTTATAAAATGCCCAATGTCTTCAGTGTTTTGAACTGAGTGAATCGGATCGTGCTTCCTGCTGGTTTCTTACTCGTACAAGTTGGTCTGCAGCTCCAGACACGAGCCGCCTGCCGTCTGAGGAGACACAGGCGGATAAAATGTCATCGTCGTGCTGGAGGTCAAGGAATCGGTCCAGAGAGTCGCCGAGGATGCTGAAGAGGCTCAGAGTGCACTCGCTGGCTGCGGACGACACAAAGAATCAGGATGCTTCTGTGCAGGTCCGAAGCACAGCGCTCAGCGCTCAGGCCTACCTGCTAACAGGGTTTTTTCATCTTCAGTGACTGAGAAGAAGGAAGGAAGCAGAGGAAACTCGCCAACAGTCTGTTTGCCTGTCCTGGAAATCTGCACGATAAAACGGCATCATCGTCGTCATTGTGGAAAGTAAAAGGAAAAAAAAGCTTTTTAGAGTGAATTCAGCTGCAGACCTGAGAGCGCCACTCAAAATATTTTAAATTCTTACACCACATTTACCTAACCTGTACAAACACAACCTTTTTAATTGTGATATATTAAATTTACATTTCCTTTTTATATTATGTATTTTATTGGATAACTATAATTATTGTGGCTTGTTTAATTGCATTTTCAGAAATGTATTAATATAGTCACATATTTATAGGCGTACATTTTTAAACCTTTAAAAACCTTAAAATCGTATAATTTTTGATCATTAATCTTGATTTTTAATGTTTTAATTTCATACTATTATAATTATTTCAGGTGTGTGTGTGTGAGAGAGAGAGAGAGACACACACCTGGTGGAGGAATCCTCCTTTATACACAACAAACACTTTCTCACGTTTGGGGAGCATCAGCGTGGTTACGACAGTCCGGTGCCTCACTGAGTTTTCCTGCGGAGTTTTCACCGTTAACTGAGTCCCGTAAACTGGGTGCGAGATCCTGACCCGACCGGAGTTGGACAGATAGACCACCGATTCTCCAAGAACCCCGAGAACCAACCAGACCTCATCGTCGCTGCTGTTCAGGTGAAGCTCCGCCCCATCCAGCTGCCACACCTTCACCTGAAGCAAGAGCAGAAGCGGGATCAGATATGACGAGAGACATTCGGCAGTGCGTGAACGAAGCTAGGCGCGGAGGCGGTACCTGTGTCCTGGTGTAAACGAAGAGCAGCTGCTCAGATAGGTGGAGGTGCACCGATGAAGGGATGGAGTCTATAGGCACTGCCTCCTCGATGCAGAAGAGCTGCTGGCCATTCATCAGGCTCCACCTCCTCAGTGAACCGTCAGCAGCCAATGAGAGGCAGTGGGCGGGGCTGCCGATCACCTTCACAGCCAAGATTGAAGCTATAAAACATACAGAAGGCATAATTATCACCTGTGTTCATCGCCTGGGCAAAGCTAAATGAAGACCCTGCAGCCCTTTTCTGGTTTCTACATGCTCAGTGTTTGCTAACCAATTCATCCCTGGAAATGGTTTTCTACAGAGGTTTGCTTGGCACGACTGTCACTACAGGGAGTGCAGAATTATTAGGCAAATTGTATTTTTGAGGAATAATTTTGTTATTGAACAACAACCATGTTCTCAATGAACCCAAAAAACTCATTAATATCAAAGCTGAATGTTTTTGGAAGTAGTTTTTAGTTTGTTTTTAGCTTTAGCTATTTTAGGGGGATATCTGTGTGTGCAGGTGACTATTACTGTGCATAATTATTAGGCAACTTAACAAAAAATAAATATATACCCATTTCAATTATTTATTTTTACCAGTGACACCAATATAACATCTCCACATTCACAAATATACATTTCTGACATTCAAAAACAAAACAAAAACAAATCAGCGACCAATATAGCCACCTTTCTTTGCAAGGACATTCAAAAGCCTGCCATCCATGGATTCTGTCAGTGTTTTGATCTGTTCACCATCAACATTGCGTGCAGCAGCAACCACAGCCTCCCAGACACTGTTCAGAGAGGTGTACTGTTTTCCCTCCTTGTAAATCTCACATTTGATGATGGACCACAGGTTCTCAATGGGGTTCAGATCAGGTGAACAAGGTGGCCATGTCATTAGTTTTTCTTCTTTTATACCCTTTCTTGCCAGCCACGCTGTGGAGTACTTGGACGCGTGTGATGGAGCATTGTCCTGCATGAAAATCATGTTTTTCTTGAAGGATGCAGACTTCTTCCTGTACCACTGCTTGAAGAAGGTGTCTTCCAGAAACTGGCAGTAGGACTGGGAGTTGAGCTTGACTCCATCCTCAACCCGAAAAGGCCCCACAAGCTCATCTTTGATGATACCAGCCCAAACCAGTACTCCACCTCCACCTTGCTGGCGTCTGAGTCGGACTGGAGCTCTCTGCCCTTTACCAATCCAGCCACGGGCCCATCCACCTGGCCCATCAAGACTCACTATCAGTCCATAAAACCTTAGAAAAATCAGTCTTGAGATATTTCTTGGCCCTGTCTTGACGTTTCAGCTTGTGTGTCTTGTTCAGTGGTGGTCGTCTTTCAGCCTTTCTTACCTTGGCCATGTCTCTGAGTATTGCACACCTTGTGCTTTTGGGCACTCCAGTGATGTTGCAGCTCTGAAATATGGCCAAACTGGTGGCAAGTGGCATCTTGGCAGCTGCACGCTTGACTTTTCTCAGTTCATGGGAAGTTATTTGGCACCTTGGTTTTTCCACACGCTTCTTGCGACCCTGTTGACTATTTTGAATGAAACGCTTGATTGTTCGATGATCACGCTTCAGAAGCTTTGCAATTTTGAGACTGCTGCATCCCTCTGCAAGATATCTCACTATTTTTGACTTTTCTGAGCCTGTCAAGTCCTTCTTTTGACCCATTTTGCCAAAGGAAAGGAAGTTGCCTAATAATTATGCACACCTGATATAGGGTGTTGATGTCATTAGACCACACCCCTTCTCATTACAGAGATTCACATCACCTCCATTCATCCATCCATCCTCATCCGCTTTGTCCAGGGCCGGGTTGCGGGGGCAGCAGCCTAAGCAAAGAGGCCCAGACCTCCCTCTCCCCAGCCACCTCCTCCAGCTTATCCGGGGGAATACCAAGGCGTTCCCAGGCCAGCCGAGAGATATAATCTCTCCAGCGTGTCCTGGGTCTGCCCCGGGGCCTCCTCCCGGTGGGACATGCCTGGAACACCTCACCCAGGAGGCGCCCAGGGGGCATCCTTGTCAGATGCCCGAACCACCTCAGCTGGCTCCTTTCGATGTGGAGCAGCAGCTGCTCTACTCTGAGCCCCTCCCGGATGGCCGAACTTCTCACCCTATCTCTAAGGGAGAGGCCAGCCACCCTTCGGAGGAAGCTCATTTCTGCCGCTTGTATCCGCGATCTCGTTCTTTCGGTCACTACCCACAGCTCGTGGCCATAGGTGAGGGTAGGGACGTAGATCGACCGGTAAATTGAGAGCTTCGCTTTTACACTCAGCTCCCTCTTCACCACAACGGACCGGTGCAGCGTCCGCATTACTGCAGCTGCAGCCCCAATCCGTCTGTCGATCTCCGGCTCCCTTCTCCCATCACTCGCGAACAAGACCCCGAGATACTTGAACTCCTCCACTTGGGGCAGGAACTCATCCCCGACCCGGAGTGGGCACTACACCCTTTTCCGGCTGAGAACCATGGCCTCAGATTTGGAGGTGCTGATCCTCATTCCCGCTGCTTCACACTCGGCTGCGAACCGTTCCAGTGCGAGCTGGAGGCCCTCACCCGATGAAGCCAACAGAACCACATCATCTGCAAAAATCAGAGATGAGATTCTGAGGCCACCAAAGCGAAAGCCCTCCGCCACTTGGCTGCGCCTAGAAATCCTGTCCATAAAAATTATGAACAGAACCGGAGACAAAGGGCAGCCCTGGCGGAGCCCATCACCCACCGGGAACGAGTCCGACTTATTGCCGGCAATGCAAACCAAGCTCTTGCAACGGTTGTATAGGGATCGAATGGCCCGTAGCAATGGGCCAGACACCCCATATTCCCGCAACACCTCCCACAGGACACCCCGAGGAACACGGTCGAATGCCTTCTCCAAGTCCACAAAACACATGTAGACTGGTTGGGCAAACTCCCATGCACCCTCAAGTATCCTGGAGAGGATAAAGAGCTGGTCCAGTGTTCCGCGACCAGGACGAAAACCGCATTGTTCCTCCTGTATCCGAGGTTCGACTAACGGACGAACTCTCCTTTCCAGCACCCTGGCATAGACTTTCCCAGGGAGGCTGAGGAGTGTGATCCCCCTGTAGTTGGAACACACCCTCCGGTCCCCTTTCTTAAAGATGGGGACCACCACCCCGGTCTGCCAGTCCACAGGTACTGCCCCTGATCTCCACGCAACATTGCAGAGGCGTGTCAACCAGGACAGCCCTACAACGTCCAGAGACTTCAGGAACTCGGGGCGGACCTCATCAACACCAGGGGCTCTGCCACCAAGGAGTTGTTTAACTGCCTCAGTGACCTCGCCCCCGGAAATTGGCGGGTCATTCCCCTCATCCCCAGACTCTGCTTCCTCCTCGGAAGACGTGTCAGTGGGATTAAGGAGGTCCTCGAAGTATTCCTTCCACCGCCTGACAATTTTCTCAGTCGACGTCAGCAGCGCTCCGCCAGCACTATACACAGTGCAGGTAGAGCACCGCTTTCCCCTCCTGAGACGTCTGACGGTTTGCCAGAATCTCTTCGAGGCAGTCCGAAAGTCTTTTTCCATGGCCTCTCCGAACTCCTCCCACACCCGAGTTTTGCTTCAGCCACTGCCCGAGCCGCATTCCGCTTGGCCTGTCGATACCTGTCGGCTGCCTCCGGAGTCCCACAGGCTAACCAAGCCCGATAGGACTCCTTCTTCAGCCTAGTGGCTCCCTTCACCTCTGGTGTCCACCATTTGGTTCGGGGATTACCACCACGGCAGGCACCAACCACCTTGCGGCCGCAGCTCAATGCAGCAGCTTCGGCAATGGAGACGCTGAACATGGTCCATTCGGACTCAATGTCCCCAGTCTCCCTCGGAATGCTGTTGAAGCTCTGCCGGAGGTGTGCGTTGATGATCACGCGGACTGGGGCCTCTGCTAGACGTTCCCAGCACACCCTCACTACGCGTTTAGGTGCACCAGGTCTGTCCAGCGTCTTCCCCCGCCACCTGATCCAACTCACCACCAGGTGGTGATCAGTTGACAGCTCAGCCCCTCTCTTTACCCGAGTGTCCAGAACATATGGTCGCAGGTCTGCTGATACGATTACAAAATCGATCATCGACCTACGGCCTAGAGCGTCCTGGTGCCACGTGCACTTATGGACACTCTTATGTTCGAACAGGGTGTTCGTTATGGCCAAACTGTGATTAGCACAGAAGTCCAATAACAGAGCACCTCCCAATCACGCCCCTCCAGGTCTCGCTGTCGTTACCCACGTGAGCATTGAAGTCTCCCAGCAGGACAACAGAGTCTCCAGGTGGAGCACCCCCCCCCCCCCCCCCCCCCCCCAGGGACTCTAAGAAGGCTGGGTACTCTGAACTGCCACTCGGCGCATAAGCGCAGATGACAGTCAGCACCCGTTCCACGACCCTAAGGCGCAGGGAACAAACTCGCACTAACTCAGGCTCCTTCCCCACCAGAGAGGTGACATTCCATGTCCCTATTGCCAGTCTTGGCAGCCGGGGGTCAGTCCGCCAGGGCCTCCGCTCCTTGCCGCCACCCGGCACACAATGCACCCGACCCCTATGGCGCCTCCTGCGGGTGGTGGGCCTGCGGGAGGATGGGCCCATGTCTCCTCTTTGGGCTGTGCCCGGCCGGGCCCCATGGACTAAGGCCCGGCCACCAGACGCTCGCCCTCGGGCACCCTCCCCGGGCCTGGCTCCAGGGCGAGGCCCCGGTAACCCTATCCCGGGCAGGGTAAACTGTTCCCTCGGTGTCCTTTTCATAAGGGTCTTATGAATCGCTCTTTGTCTGGTCCCTCACCCAGGGCCAATTTGCCATGGGAGACCCTACCAGGGACCCTACCCAGACAACATAGCCCCTGGGATCCCTGTGACACACAAACCCCTCCACCACGATAAGGTAGCGATTCATCACCTAATATGCTTAATTGGTAGCAGGCTTTCGAGCCTATACAGATTGGAGTAAGACAACATGCATGAAGAGTAAGACAACATGCATGAAGAGGATGATGTGGACAAAATACTCATTTGCCTAATAATTCTGCACTCCCTGTATTTGCATCACCCATGTGGTTCCTTACTGCAGAGCAAGTCGGACTGTAGACGGATCTAACAGGTGGGGTTTAGAGCTAGATGACGTGGAAGAAAACTGCATAAAACTCACTTATTTTTCGGAGGAAACAAGACAAAAACTGATTGTTAATGCTTTAACACTGACGTTTATCCCTCTGAAATTCAGCGTCAGTTCCTGTTTTTTTGTTTTGTTTATTTGTTGTTGTTTTTTTATTGATCAAATAAACTCCTCCAACCCAGAGTGGGTAAGTATCTGAGGTTCACAGCGAGGGGAGATGGAGCAGGAGATCGACAGGTGGATCAGCAAACCTGTGTGCTCAGAGTCGAGAAGTGCTATATATATATGAACCACTGAAAAAATAAGATCATGGACGCATGTGGTGGATATTAGCTTCCTCTGAAACGGGTCTGAGCTTGTAGTGCCGCTGGTCCCCCACATTGAAAGGAGGCAGGATGAGGTGAGCTGTCTCCTAGGAGACGATGGGGCAGGCCCAGGACACGCCGGAGAGCCTGTGTCTCTGTCGGAGTCACTGCTGCCCTAAGCCTAAAGAGCATAAATCAGATGAAGCCTGGACTTTTATCGGCTGAAGGGGGTTTGGCACAAAAAAATTTGAGTGCTCGTATGGCTCTGCAACAGATCCCATGAGTTACCTGTCTGTGTTTAAGACAGGTAAGTAAACAAGCCTTTAACAGTTACCTTCATCCTGCTGTACAAACGTGGAGCGGGAGGAAGACACCCTGTGTTCTATCGTTCAGTCAGCTGTGTGTTCTGGGCCAGACTCACCTGTGTGTCCCAGCAAGGTGTGGACAAGCTGCTTGTCAAGCATGCTCCAAACCTCCACCACGCCGTCATCTGACCCCGCAACTAGGAGCCTCAACACCACGCTGATGTCCATGCAGACAACACCTGCAAAAATGTCACAGAGTCAGGCTGCTGAATGAGTCAAAGCAAAAACCGAATTAAACCAAATTAAACCAAAAACGCATCATCTGACCTCCCCGCAGCACACTTAGCGTGTGCTGCAGCGCCCCCCCTGGCTGCTGCAGGAAGCTGCTCCTTGGGATGAGAATCGGATCCGGATACTTCAGTAACCACTCCTCGCACTGGCTACACAGCCGCCCAATCACAGTGGGGAAGGCGGAGTTGAGCGAGGACAGTCGGGCCAACAGCTCGGAGTAAAACAAAGACACTTCTGCGGCAAGAGAGAAGACTGTAAAACTTTAACATGACATGTGACTGTGAGCCAGTGAACACATCTAACTGACCCATGTGTCCCTCCAGGAAGCATAAGCTGGGTTTCATCAGGACCAGAGCATCTCGTATCAGTCCAGTCTCTGTGCAGTCCATGTACTTGGAGCACTGGTCCAGGTCATGGATCACAGATGAGACACCACACAGCCGGCTCTTAATGAACAGCCACTCAGCACAGCCTGCAAACACACAGAGGTAAATTGGGAGCAGTGGAGACACACAGAGGTGAACAGAGAACAGTGGAGATACACAGAGGTAAACCAGGTGTAGTTGAAACACTGACACACTTTAGTTTGGTCTCAGCTGAGAATAGTGGGAGTGAGCGGGACCCACATGCCCCTTTCCCCCTGTGTTGTGTCTTACTAATAACTTCCTGTCGAAGCTCCTCCCACAGACCACTGTGCAGCAGGTGGTAGGGCAGCTCCTGCAGCTTCCTGATGTTAGCCAATCCTGGAGCAAACCACAGCGGCTGGGGTGGGACCTGTGACAGCATAGGATCAATCAAAATGCACCATGGATGCAAAAAACTATTTCCACAGATTGTTTAGGCTTGGTCAGATCACACATTTATATTTTTATCAAACTTACCAACGACTCATAAATCATGGATCATGAACCTGATCTGATATGGCAGCTTTCACAAACTGCAAGCTCGCTCCTATGTGTTTTTGCATTCTCATAAACTCATTAATTAAGAGTTTATGAGAATGCATCAGTTTGGAGGAAGATGTAATGACACACTAATTTCCTTATATTCATGAGTACACTATCCTTTTTTTAAATTAAATAACCTCACAAAACAACTAACTGACCCCTGATTTTGTACCTTTCTGTCAGACAGCAGCAGTGAGAGACCCGGCAGAGACGCTGGCCTCAGTTTCCCTGACCACCGACCCAGGAAGTACTCTGCCAGGATCCTCAAACTTCGCCCCCGCCGCTCTGACCTCAGATAATGTGCTGAGACCGCCTCGGACAGACGCCTAAACACAAACAGTTTTCATTTCAATTTCAGCTGGTTGCCAGATGTAGATTTAGTTGTTGTTGTTTTTTTTATTTATGATTGATTTGTCTGCTCCGATCAATCATTTCTCAGATTTTCTTACTTGTTGTTGAAGGCGATGGTGGCGACTCCATCAGTCCAGCGCTCCTCCAGGTGGTCCTCAAGGTCCCGCCTTAGCCGCGCCCACAGGAGGGGCGGCAGCCGGATCAGTGAGGGAATCGGAGGAAGGGAGTACCGGTACACCTCACTGATGACATCATCATCCAGGGACATGACATCACGCAACTCAGCCTCCAGCAGACCCTCCCTGTGGAGTCAAGTGATCAGATGATGAGATTTTTGTGTGTTTTGGTTGTTTTCTGGCTTTCTGAGTTCAGACTTTTAGAAACACTGATCACCTTTTTGTGATCAATCAATCATGTTATCAGTATCAATCGATGGATAAATCCAAACTGAAACAGTGGCGATCTTATGTGGTGATCTGACGTTCGTCAGAAAGGTGTGACCATATCCTCACCTTGCTAGAGTGATGTACCCCAAAGCCCCGCCCACCAGCTCCTTCCCGTGTTTTTCCTCCAGCATAAGGAAGAGGTGTGACATCATTTCCTGAGTGCTGGTACCCAGACGCAGCTCTGTCAGTGGCGTGAAGGACGTCCAGCGTTTGGCGACAGACAGGATGAGTTTGAGGTGGAGTGGGCAGCCAGATGACTCAACAGTTTGCAGCACAGCGCTACTCTGCTCGCACGTCAGCGTCCGCTGAGACGCTCGCAGGTCTGACTCTATGATGCGTTCACCTTCCTCGCAAGACAAACGCTCTGCCTCAAAGAAGCTTCCCAGAGACTCCAACTTAAACCGCATGTTAGCAAATGCCTCGCTGTTGGTTTCCATGGAGACAACCACATGGACGTTGGGCGGGAGGTCAACAGGCAACCAGCGGAGCTTGTGAGCGTGATGTTGGTCTGCAAGCTGCTCCACAGAGTCCAGGACGATGACCAGAGCACCGCCCTGCTGGGAAACCTGCTCAAGAACATCCCAGAAGAATCGCAGCAGCTCCAAGTGAGTGGAGACCGTCAGCGGTGAGGGCGGAGCCAGACCAGAAGCCAAGCACACCTGTGTGCAGATGCTGTGGAGAACGTGGTCAATGTCAGGTTTTTGAGGGTGGCAAGCTGCGAGCAGCCTGATCACCACCACTGCCCTGGCCTCCAGTACACCACGCATCTCCTGGGCCAGTTTGCACAGCACCGCCGTCTTCCCCATCCCGGCGCCACCATGAACCACCAGCGGCCTGTGGCGGACATTGCTGGACTCCCACATGGCAAGGCACAGCTTCCCCAGCAGCCCCTCCCTGCCATGGAAACCTCTGCAAAGCTCAGCACTGATGGCAATGTGGCGCCTTGCCTCCGTGACCACCAACCCGTCCATCTTCTCCTCTTCCTCGGTGGTTCCCCACATCTTCCTCCGGCCCAGTGAATCCATCGCTGCGCCAATCCGAGCCTTCATCTGTGAGACAAACTGCTCGCAGACGCTGTCCAGGTACTGAGCATGCTCCTTGCACTTCGGATTTATGCTTCCTCTGCTCAGCTCCACAGAGTGCAGGTTGAGGATCTTCTGTGACTTGACGAAGAGCCGTGTCTTCAGCCCGGCGAGGAGTCCCTGAGCTTCGGCATCCAGCAGGCCGTCGCCGGTCACATCCATGAACTTGGCAAAACGTTTGGGCCCCTCCCTGGACTTCTGACGGGGAATCTCACGAACGAAGAGCAGAGCAGATGATTCATAGTCATTCTGCCACAAACCACGCTCAAACTCCCGCTCTGTGACTGTGGGCAAGAAGAACCAGAAAACACTGAGAAAACAGAGACAACAGAGGGCGACCTGAGTGGCGAGCTGGGCATGGTGTCCGCGAGCTTTCACCTGATGTGTAGAACCGTTGTTTCTCCTCAGCTGTGATCTCGCCGGTGTCCTCGGCGTCAGTGGCTGCAGATCGAAGTAGTCGCAGTAGCCGAGTCTCTGCTAGGCGCCATGACAGGACATCTTTGTCGTGCTGCTTCCCGCTCTCAGGCCGAAGGTCAATGTAATGAGGGAAGTGAGCTATGATTGGCTGAAGGACATAGGTGGGTGGGACAGCATTGCTGTCTTTTTTAAACCACTGGTTAAGTGTCTTAATGCCTTCTGGGTTTTTGGAGAGTTTGGACAGAAGAGCGTCAAAGAGTTTCTCTGGAATGAGGCGAGGAAGAGCTCGGTGGCCGTACCGGTTCCCCAGCAGAGCCTTCAGAGCCAAGAAACAGGAAAATAAAGAGAAGAAGAATGAGTGCACAATTCAGATCCAAAAGAACTGCGGCCTCAGCTTCAGCTCTATGTGTACTTATAATCCACACGTAAACTAAAAAAAATTAAAGTCAAGAAAGAAATAGAGACATTTCAATTCCACTAAACACACATAAAATGTTAATAAAAATAAACATAGTGCTCATTTGTGGCTGAAGTCCAACCTTAACCTTTGACCCGGTGACGAAGAGGACAAAGCACTCACAATGAACGTTGGACCAGCTGACATCTGCTCGCAGCGCTGGATCTCCTCCAGGAAGACCTCACAGGCCTCGTGGTCTCCTGACGGGACGTTTCGGATCCCCCAGCGTAGATCCACAACCTGAAGAGGAAGTGACCTCATTCAACTTTAAGCAGGTATAAACCTCCACTCAGGCAGCTCACAGCAGTTCAGGAGGGAGATGCGTGGTCAGTGGGTTAAATGTGGAGCCCTGAAGCCCCGCACCTGCTCATGGGTCATTTGTTATTCATGGGGTGTGTTTTGGTTGTTTTGGTATTGTGACGCACCAACCAGGAAGTGAACTGTCCCAGTTTAGAGCTCACAGCCAGGATTTTATGCTTCACCGTGTTTAGGCAGTAAAAACTTTTCAGCTGGGTTCAGGAAAGGATCGTGCTTTGGGTTAAAATAGTGTGATAGGAGGCGAGGGTCCACTTTGGACTGAGGTATTTGTTTCACCTCGTCAGGTTTGATGGGACGGTTGCCACATGCAGCAAGGAGGGTTCCTACCAACAGACCGGGCCAGTTAAGCTATTATTTTTAATCTGTTTGAATAAGTCTTCATGTATAGATGATCCTTTCCTGCCTAATTTCAGGCTAGAAATCCTGATAAACAGTGTTGGTGGTTAACTTGGAGTGGTCCTTGTTTGCTGCCGCGTCCACGGTGGAGCCTTTGTGACTGTCGAGTAGGGTTTGTAATAATTTAAGTAAAGGAGCTGCAAATTTCTGATTTCATACTAAAGACTAGGTTGGACGTTTTATGATAACGTTTATTGAACTCTATTTCAAATAAAGATTTTGTTTTGAAGTTTTTGGTTGTTTGGTAATTTTTGACCTCTGAACACTGGACTAGACTGGTTTAACAAAGGTAGTGACAGTGTTAGCTGTTTAAGTTTTATTATGCTCCTTCATAGCAGGAACCCTCACGGCCTCTACTCGCTCATATTACCTGGTGCTTCATGTCAGCCCACCAAAGGGCACCTTATGTGTAACTAACACCTCAGCAGCTTTCACATAACTGACCCTGAGACACATTAACTGTCCCAGTTTGGTAACACCGGCAGAAAAGCTGGCATTTCCTGTGTGAGGAAAATCTGCTCCTGCCAATCACTGAGACTTTGTTGCCATAGCTACTAAAATACCGCTGATGTCAGCAGTTTTTTGGCACCAGTCTATTTCACATGGATACAGGTCATTTATGTTGATCATTTCTGCCTTGGTCAGTGGAAAAGACCATGGAGAAAACATGCCACATAGGCAGAAACTGAAAAAAGAGACGTGAACACAAAGATGATCAAATCTAAGTGAAAAAGGAAAGAAAACATGAAGGTAACAAACCGGTCCAGCAGGTGAAAGAGGAGGAACAAAGTGGGCAGAAAACTGGGGGAAAACGCACGCATGTTAGGAGACTTGATTTCAAAATAAAACAGGAAAGGAGTAGAAATGGTCAAACCCTCATGAATGACAGTTACACATGAGGTTTAATGAGCACAACACGTGTGAACTGACCTCGAACACCAAGCCAAGCCCGCAGCAGAAGGACCGGACTTCTGGGTAAGCTTTCTCCAGCAGAGCCTTCCTCTCGCTGCTCATATCTGACCACAGATCAGAGAAACTGTCAATCACACGTGGCGCTCAGAGCACAACCAATCAGAGCGTCTGAGCTGGCTTCACATCAAGTTAAGACTGAACAGAAGAGCAAAGAAAGTCTCAGTTGAGAGTTTCAGTGAATGAACCTGGAGCAGAGACGAACCTTCACTCTGAGATCTGATCTGGACAAGTGTACAGGAAGTCGAGCTCAGAACTAAGAATGACACTTTGATCCACATCTGGACTCTTTATCATCATGAGCGTAGACAACACATCTGACATTAAAACATCACAACAGATCAAACTGCAGAATAAAAGTGGAAGACATCGTCCCGATGTTCTGACCCGGATCCAGAGGAGCAGAGCGAGATACAAAGTTTCAACCTGCTCCACTTTCACTGTGTTTGACATTTAGCTGATTTTGTGAGATATCTGAAAATATAAGCCTGCATGGTTTGAGCGCTCTCTGGCTGAAACCATGCAGTTTGAGCCGGAAGAAACTGCTCCCTGACCAAAAATAAAGTCTGTATCACACCAACTCTCAGCAGTCTTTACACAACAAGGGCAAACGCAATCTAACGACTTCCCATCTACAGTGGGTACGGAAAGTATTCAGACCCCCTGGTATTTAGGCCCTGTCACAACCCTAATCCGGTTGTGAGGGGGTATACGTTAGTCGTCGATGCTGCTAGAACTTTGGCTAATGCATCACCCAGCTTGCGACAAACCACTCACGGAGCATCAGGGGCTCAGTAAGTCTACCTTGAAAATTTTGACTGACACAATTGCCAAGTGGATTAGTTTAGAACACGTGCTTTACATAGCTTTGGTTCCTCGTTTCAAGGACTTGAAGTGCCTCCTCAAGAGTGACAGAGAGAGAGAGTGGATAAATGTTTACAAGTTTTGTTAACATGAATGTGCAATGTGATATTTCAGTTTTTCTTTTTTAATAAATCTGCAAAAATGTCAGAAAAACTGTATTTCTGTCAATATCAGGTGCAGTGTGCACGTTAATGAGAAAAAATGAGCTTAAATGATTTTTAGCACATGGCTGCATTATAACGAAGAGTGGAAAATTTAAGGGTGTCTGAATACTTTCCGTACCCACTGTATATTTGTTCAAACTGTGTGCATTACATGGACATGACACTTCATTACGTGGACACTTCAAAGGCATTTCAGCCTTTTTACTACCAAAAAACAAGCACAGGAAATGCTCCATCGCCAGTGTATGAAATGGTTAAAGCACCTTTCTGCTCAGCTCCATGCTTCTTTTTTTCCCACTTGATTAGATTAACTCTGCATGATCAGAATAATCGTATTCATCCTATAAAGACGTGATTTGATGACATCAGCTCATTACAGAAGCAGAAAAGCAGTTTTCAGGTCAGTCTGAGGCTCCTCAGTTTGTCTCATTATTTCAGCTTCAGCAGCATCTGACCCAGCAGAATAACTCTGTAGCCTTTGACCTGTATTTCTGGAGAACAGTTATCAGTTATAGTCAGTTATGTTTGAAAGTGCTGCAGAATCAGATCCAGACTGATGGAGCTGGAGAAAAATAGATCTGTGAAAGTTCTGCAGCTGTTCATCATTCTGGTTTAACGATGAAGAGCAGCTGCAGAGCTCTTCATCATTAAACCAGTTCCAGCTTTGATGGGATTTCATGTTTGAGCTTCAAACTGGTGCTGAGCATCATGCGTAGGTTCGCTCTGAGCCCACAGAGGTAATCTGACCTGTGAACGTGGAGCTGATGAACACTCGGATCATGTTGCTCTTCGTCCTCTGAGCGCCGTCTGTGCATCCTCTCAGCACGTCTTGCGGGCCGATCTCTCCTCCTCTTCCTTCTGTCGGACTCTGTGCCATCATCCACAGCCTGGAACTGGTCGTCCTCCTCTCCTTCTCCTGGCGTCTGAGGCTCCTCAGCTGCGCTCCAGCCTGTTTGTTCCCTCAGAGAGCTTCCTCCAGGACAACCATCCTCCCACCTGAGCTGCAGGTGTGCCCACAGAGTGGCGTCAGTGTTGCTGCGCTCATGTTAAACTGGAAGATCTGCCAAACAAAACACCCTTACTGCTCTTCTGCTCTGACTCAGAGTTCATAATGATGTTTACTGCAGATCATTCTAATAAAATCACAGTTGATCTTGCTAACAGGAGCATGCGGCCATTTAACCTCCTGACAAACTCCAACAGGAGGCGTTGGAGAAAGGACGACAAGACGTGCATTTCCCTGGGGTCGCATCGGGAAGGACGTCCAGTGTAAAACTGATCAGATTGAAATGCCGGGGGGGGGGCTGACAGTAGCATCAGTGAGGTCATTTTAGTGCCTGATGTTAATTTGCCCTCAAGTGTTTACCCCAAGTGCAAATACCAACATCAAGTAAACAGCATGAAAACCTTACTTTTAGTTACTCACGCCACCTGGATGTTGTCTGATGTTTTTGTAAGTACTCTATAATTCCTGTAATATGAAAGCTCAGCTGGGCAGGGGTTCAGCTTCAGTCGTACAACTCATTTTAACTAGTTTTAAAAATAAAATATAAAAAGAAAAATAAATAAATATGACCGGTCAAAGTCAAACTGGCTGAAAGGTTTTTTAAACAATGTCTTTTTTATTAAGAGGTTTCCTTTTATACACATAAGCATCAACATATATATTATACATATAAACAGAAAGAAAAGAGAAGGATTACAGATGATCTGTACATTAAGGTTAAGTAGTACATTTAAGCTGTGAAATGAGTTCAGAAATGTATCTTCGGCTGTGAAATAAAAGGAAAGAAGAAAAAAGGGAAACAAAGAGAAAAATATAAACAAATGTATAATATATCCCAAAGTAACATAATCCCTGCAAAACAATCCCATTCATTCCCACCCAGGTCACTGCCTGCACTCGCACACTGCATTTCCACACCTGACTTAAGAGAGTTTGCTGAAAAATTCTTATAGATTTTGAAAAGCATCAAGGAAGGGTCCCCACATTTTTTGAAATTTCCCAGCGGAGTTCTGAAGTGAGTGTCTTATCTTGGCTGAAAGGTTTCACAGAAAATAAATATTTGCTTTGGTAGATGGACTCGGCCCTTCATACGACATGCCTCATTCACATGAGTTCATGCAAACACTTTATATCTAACAGTCTGATGAATGCATCGGACAGCTGCTCAGGGTCAGTGTCTTGCTTGTATTTGGCATACAGACTGGGGCACCCAGGGATTGACCCACCAACCTTGTGATTCGCAGACAACCTGCTCTTTGAATCTGTAAGGAAATGTTTATTTGTGGATTGCATGAATTCAGTTTGTCATCAGCTGGATATTAAACTCATTGTTAGTTTCAGGCTGTGTTGACATGGAATCAATGTTTTCATGTAAAAATTAAAGCTATTAAAGAACTGAGAGGATTTTCAAGAATCCCATAATGTTCCTCTCTGTGGGCTCTGCTCCCACAGAGATTGGCTCACCTGCTCAGGCGTTAAAGTGAGCTCACCCGTGTTTACTAAGCCGGGGCGCTCAGGGGCCGCCGCTCACAGCTGCAGCTCACGCTAATTATGTGCCAGAAGAACAATGATAACGAGAAAAACAAAGGTGGGCGGTCGCAGAGCGGCATGAGCCTGAGCCAACTACCTTCAAACCTAAACGTGTGCAAAGTGATGAGTACCTCACGATCAGTCTCTATGGCTTCACTTCCTTCACCTGTTGGCTGTTTAAGTGGTTCTTTGGCACTGCTGCATTAAGCATCAACCAGCCCAGCAGGTCAAAATCTGATTTATATGCACGTTGCTGTAAAAACGATGGAAATCAAGTTTCAGAGCTTTTTCAGTGTTTCATGTAAAACCCAAACATTAAAGTCTTGATGTGAGCAGTCTGGCAGAGTGAGCAGTTCAGAGTGAGAGCAGCTCTGAGAGCATCGTCTGCACTCGGAGGAGTTTCCTGGTCGGATGTAACCTCCTCAGAGAGCTCCGATTGTAAAAAAACAGCCCGAAGGTGAAAATGGAGAACAAACAGTTGATCCAATGTAAACACGAACCTGTCGGGGTTTGGATCCCCTCCTGCAGGCGCCCGAGTTCATAAAGCAGAAAGAAGTAGCAGCTGTTTACTGCTCTGCTGCAGGCTGAAAGTCAGCAGTTTGACTACTTAGAAGAACAACAAGCTTCCAGGAAGATCTATGTTTTATTACTTGCCAGATGAAGCTTTATGAGTGGTGAAGACAAAGAGACGTCACAACTTTAGGTTCTAGAGAGATTTTTAGAGTTTTTTCTTCAGTAAAAGTTAATCAGACACGGTCTCACTGTTTTAGATGCTGAACACACAAAGCTGCAACTCCTCTGCCCTCCAGCAGGTCTCCAGCTGTGGGTCAGTCACCATAGACTCCCATGTTAAAAAGCTAATTTTTTTCCATTAAGACAGTTACAACAGATAATATATACTGTATGTAAGGTTTAAAGGAGAGGTGCGGTTGATGAAGAGTATTAAAACTAATTATGTGACCCAATGGCAGAATATACAATGGAAATAAGTAGGGACTTAAACCAGATCCTTGAGGAACACCACACGAGACAGTGAGACTGAAAATGTTTCATCAGCAAGATTGAATCACTCAAACACAAGGCATGGATCCCTACCATGTGGTTTGATTAAGATTAACGATGATAAAAGGTATCAAATGCAGAGCCGGGCACACATTTATCTGCAAAAGGTTGTTTGAAACTTTGAGGAGAGCCTTTTCCGTAACTTCCCACACCACACCACAGCAAGAATATTGTGCTTCTCCAACAACCTTTTTTAACATTTTGACAGTAAAAGGAAGTTGTATGATGCTGGATATCACCTTTACACCACCTTTGTGTCCTTCAATCTTCTCTGAAGAAAAGATGAGAGATGTCTCTGACCCCAGTCCATCTATAGAGACACGTGGACGATTTAGTAGAGTCAGGGATTGTAATATTAAAGAACCCTGCACAGGAATGGCATGGAGACAAAAACAGACACTTTACAGCCAGACTGAAGGATGCCAAGGACAACCTGGTGAAAGATCCTGCAGACTGAACCTTCCTTGGTCAAATGAAATTAAACTGGCGCTCAGTGGACACAGAAACACTGTGAAGCATGGTGATGGCAGCATTATGCTGTGGGAACTGGGAATTTCATCAAACTGGAAGGAATCATGAAGAAAGGAGGAAGGATCCACTGAGAAGCAAAGCTGGGTCTCCCAACCAGAGGTGGGCGTTAGTGTAATATGATTGCTTTTTTCAAGTAATGAGTAAAGTAAGAGATTACTATTGTAAAAGAAGTAATTACATTACTGTTTCTTTCCTGTAAACACACTGCATTACTAAACAGTAATTTTGTTTGTGTCTCATGACAATGATGTACGAGCGTGCAACAGACGTGTGTAGATCAATAATGGATCATATGTAGTGTGGGAGTGAGTACGACCATGCAGCGTTTAAAGCTTGGAAGTACTGACATTACTTTGAGCTGGATTCCGTAAAAAACAAAACATTAGCGTCCGCTTTACACTGCATGGGAAGAAAACTTCTTTTTACAGCATAAAAATAAAACTTTAAATCTGAGCAAGCACCTAGCACGCTGCCACAGGAATGTGAAATTTACAAAGAAACCCCCAGATCCCCCCCCCCACGGACATGACCACTGAGACAACGGGCAAACCTCTGACGCCCCCACTCCTGCTAAACAGGTGAAAATAGATTTAAGAGTGATAGGACTTAGTGCTGCTGAATCTTTGATTTTATTTATTTTTGCTGTGTTTTACTTGCACTTACTATTTAAATAAAATGTATTATTATTATTATTATTATTATTATCATCTAATTGAAAAATTGAGTGCAATTATTTTATATGCTGGAATATACAGAAAATAGGTTTAAATATTAAATTTCTTCAAGCCAGAGACTGCATATAATTTAATTTGTGCTTGATGCAATGTGCATAAATGTGCATGGTAGTTAAAAGATTAAAACTAATAAAACAAGTTTTAAAGAGACTTTTTCCATTTGATTCAGTTTTATATGATTGATTATGCAGAGAAAATAGAATTGGGCTGAAAGGTCTATTGCTTTATTATGTATTGAGGTTGTGTATCATGTTTTTAAAAAGTAACTAAGTAATAAACTAATTACTTTTGAAAATAAGTAATCAGATAAGTAACAAGATTACTTTCTTAAATAATCAGCAATTAGTAACCAATTACTTTTTTCAAGTAACTTAATCAACACTGCTCCCAACACAACGACCCAAGAATGAGCTCCAGAAGACCAAAGTGAGCGTTACTGAGCAGCCTGCACAAAACCCTGACCGTGGGCTGGAGTGAAGACCAAGGTCCATGCCAGAAAATAGTCAGAAGAGCCTGACAGGTTCTCCAAAGATTAATGGGCTGGGATCGCCCCAGAGATGAGTTAGTGAGTCGACTACAGGCTGTTATCAGCCAAAAGGCCACACAGCTGATCATTAGCATCGGAGGAGGGGGAAGGATGGGGGACAAAATTAAAAAAAAAAAAAGTTTGGAAAAGCTTCTGTTTAACAGCACCCCGGAACACTTAAGAATGAATTTTCATTGGGGGCTAATCGTTTTATTTTGTCAACAATCATTTTTTTCCTGACAAAAACATGTTGATAACCAAATACCTCAATCACAAAAAAAAGTGATGAAACGTGTCGAAACTTTTATCAAAAATTAAGGAAAACTGTTTTGGGGACCAATCAGAAGTACTTAAGTTGTGCAGAAAGGCAGGGATAGTTTAAAGTGATCCAATCAGAAGGAACCTCTGTGTCATGCAGTGAGGTTACCGACAAAGAGGGCGTAAAATCTTTTGATTTTATTTACGATAATCTTTGTTTAGTCAACTAAAGCTAGATGAATTTAATGGCTAAACTGTGACAAACTAAATCTGCTGCCTAAATTAATGCTGGGGCTAATAATTCGGTCCTCATCAGTAAACGGCAGCCATGTTTGAAGCTGAACTGCAGCATGTTAAGATGATGCAAGCTTCATCCAACGCCGGAGAAACGCGATGGAGACGCCGACTTTAACCAATCGGTTCTTATCTGCCACGTTTTTCTTTTATGTCATTTGGCAAAAATGTGGACTCT